AATAGGGGGGGGCGAAACCAGGGGCGTGTACAGGAAGCACGCGAAGGGGGGTCTGGGAATTTTTGAAATTAGACCCTCCAGATGCTTTTTTTGTGCGAGCAGGGGGGGGTGTCCGACCCCCTGGACCCCCCCCCCTGTACACGCCCCTGGGAACTGTAGACTGATACCGTGTGCGCTTGCACTGACGGGTGGGGCCTGTGGCGCCGCCCCTGAGTGCTAGTCCAACAGAATTGGTGGCTATAACCACCTAATCCGCTGTCCCCTTATCTATCAATGCTGTCTCTATACTCATTCCTTAATTATTTCTCATCCGATCTTCGAATCCGTTTTCCCCTTTGTGTCCATAGGGGCCTAATAAGACTTCTCCTGTTCATCAGTTTTATATTACTTTAGTAACATATGTACCCCCTTCTCTTGCTTCTCTCTGCAATACTACACTGTATAGTTTTTCTCATCATCATCATTCCCCTGTCACATTCCCGAGTGGTCAGTACACCTTCTACTTTATGACCAGCAGACGCGAATATTAGCGGAATGATATCTGGTGTGCTCGGTGACCGGTTGTATGTGCGGCTGTATTTGCGCACATATTTCGTGCCCGGTTTTCAATGGCTGCCCCCATTCGTGTTACCATACTGTCCATAGATATGGTGTGACTCAATCAGGAAGTTCTGTTATCAATATCAGGACGTCGAGTTTCCTGCCTTATTTGAGTTGTTTTCTCTCTGCAGTGTCACTGTTAGTTACTGAACGTAGATTACTGGTTGTGCTTGCAGACAAGTCTCAGCGATTTATTTGGTAGAGATGACGCTAGTAATGAAAAATCGTTGGGTCGTAACCAACTGTCTGCATTTAATTGGATTCATGGTACGACTACGAATATGAATTACGGTTTAATTATGATTTCAATATATTAATCTAGGCAATAGTCAGTGACGCCGAAAGAAGAACAACAGCAGTACCACCCTGGGTCTGGGGCTTGCAGCAACGGGCGCTTGGCTGTGTCTTGTTGCATCATAGATGTACACACACACAACTTGTGTTTGTATATATATATATGCATACATTTATATGGTGGCAGCAAGCACAGGGTGGTACGGTAATCATACAAGGTCACCCAACGTGGTAGTACTAACTTAGTAACTATACTCTGTTCGGTTACATTAGTGCATGTACTATGTAGTTACGGTAGAGCTAGCACGGATCAAGGTTGAAGGATAGTTTGGGACCCCTGCCATATGTTTTCGTATAATGTGTTACACTAATCTGGGGTGGTAAACTAGGCTTGGGCCGCTAGCGCTACCCTTGCAACCTTTGCTCTGCTGCAGGCTGAGGAGCAAAGAGATACATCCATGGGTATAGCTAGGGAGCCACAACTGAAGGTCTTTGTCTCTCGGGTTAATCTTGGAACATGCCTCTAAACCTTACCCTATCCCTATCCTAAACCTAACTCCAGTATAATCTAGTCTAGAATACCCGAGTCAGTCCTTCATTTTTTGTACCTAGGAAGACATAAGACCACGTTTAGCGTTGATTCGTTTAGTCTTGCATGCAAATTATACCAATATAATGTAATTAATGCAGAGTAAATGTGGTAGTCAATTCCTTACTTTTATAATCAGTGTATACACTTAAAAATAACTGAAAAGATTCTTCGAATATATTAATGTATTGTTTTGAAACTTGTAAGTTTATATCATTGTTACCATTATTACTGGATCTATATTTTGAATATTTGTTTTCAGGACCTGTTGGGAGTCAGTATGATACTATACATGATGCCAGGTCATATTAAAGAGTTGGGTGGTTCTGCTACTATAGGTGGACTGATTGGTGAGCTTTCTCTATATTAGTTACAATTATTTGTGGTAATAGTTTCTAAAAAATACTTAATTATGCACCACATACATCTAAAATATGTTAAAGTATATGTGTATCAGAGCACTACATAGGTCTAAAATACCTGGGGCCTGATTTTACTGGGAGTGATCGGCATGTAAAAATTGTAATGCAGCAAGCTTAAGTGCAGAATCTGTAACTAGCCTATATTGTTGCATAGATGAAAAGGTTTACATAGATTTGTCCTAATGTGATGTAAAACAATGTTTAGTTTCCTAACAACATACACACTGGCATATAACCAAAGGGTGAAATCTTGTTACCTACCTGACAAAATATGAATTAATACTAACATATAATAGTTAGTAATTTCAATGTCGTATTTATTTCTATATCTTGTGATATCTCTACTTCCTCTTCTACTTTCTTCTCATCCATTGCCCCTCTTTCTTCTTCCACCTCCCTACCCCTTTCTCCCAAATCCCATCCCAAGCTTTCTACTGCCTTTCCCTGCTCCATCTTCTCTCCTCTCTTCCAGCCTCCAACATTTCCCTTATTCTTCCTCTACCTCACTCTACTTTCCCCTTTTACATCTCTAGCATATCACTACCCCCTCCCTTCCTCCACACTTACCATTCTCCTTGGCTCCACTCCAACTCTCTCCACCTCACTACCATCCCTTTTTAGCTCATCTGACGTAGTCGGATGCAGCTTGTAGAATCGCATGATTGTCCGTCCGTGCGTCCGTCCGTGCGTCCGTCCCGTGCGTCAACAGTTGGGCACAAATCTTAACCGCTCGACGTACGGTCACGATATTCGGGACGTCAGGGGGAGTGTGAAAAGACTCGGGATGACAATTTTGGGTCAGGGGTTAAAGGCAAATATGTGTAAACGGAGGGGGAATATTTCCCCCTTAACTTTAGGTATAGGAGGAAATACGGAATTGCGGCACATATCTCAACGGCTCGACACTATGCTTTTAAATATTCGTGTTATAGTGTGATGGGCAGGAAACCCATCACCAGTGGGAAATTGAGGTCAACAGGTCAAAGGCAGTGGGGGAAAGGTCAGATATTAGAATTTTCTGAGACATGGCCTAATGGACATGTGGAAAACTTTTTTGTTTCAGCGCTGAACCTACCATTTTTATCACTTTATTGAAAGGAACATGAAATGTGCTTTCCACTGATGTGCAAAGAGTAAGTGTCTGATAACCGTTTTGACCCTCAAAGAGGAGGGTTAACAGAAGTTTCCTGAACTGCCTCAATGATGTGAACAGTGTTCTCATATTCATGGCACATCCATAATCTAGAAAGCAATAGGCTTGGGATAGCCAAACGGTACAGCGCAGGCATCACGGCTCAAAGGTCCTTGGATCGGATGCCCATCAGATTTGTTATTATTTACCTGTTTTCTGTATTTTTCTATCCTTATCCATTTAACAATTTTTTGTTCAATTAACGCAAATATTCACATGATTTATTTACAACAACTTAAAAACAACAAATAATTTTTTTTAATAGGGTTAGGGTGACAATGCACCATAAAACAGGAGTTTCAGGCACTCGATTTGTATCAACCAATGGGATTTGGGAGGTATGCAGGATGCAGAAGGTGGATGAAATGATGTTTACGCAACTGCGTATCTGCATATCTGCGCCTAACAAATGTGTCACTACGCACGACTGAAATTTTACGTTTATAACCGTAGCTAACAGACCTCAGATGAGCCCAGACGCTCAC